GAAAGGAAGAAGGAGAGAGGGAGAGAAGAGAAAGGGAAAGAGGAAAGGGGGGAAGTGAGGGAGTAGGAGGGAGAAAATGGAGGAGGGGGAGAAAGGGAGAGGGAAAGAGGGAAAAGGAAGAAGGAGAGAGGGAGAGAGAGAATTAGAGAGTTTTATGCTAAATCAAATCAAAATTTTATAATTTGGCATATTTTGGTAGAAGAGAACAGGCACTGGGGACAGAAGACTTGGATTTGAATGCTGGCACATATATTTAACAGCTGTGTGACCCCAGGCAAGCCTCTTTGCTCCTCTAGGTCTTGGTTTTCTCCTGTGTAAAAATAAGGGGGCTAGCTAGATAATCTCTAGGGTGCCGTGAATCTCTAAAATTCTGCAGCTACCTACAGCTCACGGGGTTGTTGTGAGGAAAGTGCCCTGCAAACTCTGAAGCACTGTGTGACCTTGGCCCTTTCCTGGGCCACAGCTCCTTTACTGGATGGCTTCTAAGGTCCCTTCCAGCCTCAAAACTGTGATCCTACGATCAAACACACACTGTGCGGGGGGGAAGGGCAAAGTTTGTGTGAGATTTGGTTCCTGTCCTCATGGAGCTGACTTACAAATTGGTGTCATCACTAGATTGCTTTAGATTTGAAATGCAAAGTTTAAACAAGATGCACAGTTATCCCTTCCATATCGCAGGGATTGGGGTGTGGCTCCCCCTTGCTCTGGAAAATCTGCGTAAAATATTTTGGCCTTCCCTTCGTACCAGAGAAGAAGTCTGAATTTTTCTTTTTTCTTCTATGGGGTGTTTACGGTATCTTATTGTAAAATTTGGGTTGATGCTATGCAATACTATACACATATTTTATGCATTTCTAAGTTTCTAAACTTTTTTTGTGTCATCCACTGGCCTTGGCGTGTCATCTGTGGCTTCCACAAAACTCCCCCCAAATTCCCATTATGGGTAAAATTATCAACAATTACTACTCTTGGCAATCTGACCAGATTAGGCCAACTCCTTAGTTTCCTCACATTAACCACAGAGATTAGGTCCCTTCACTTTACTTTCCTGGGAGCACAGAGTTGGTCAAAAGCAGCCTGAGCTCAATTTTAAATAGGCAAATCCTAACTCTTGTGGGCAGGGAATTCCCTGGTGAACATGACCCCATAATTTTACTGTGAAAGCACGGGGAGTTTCAGCATTGTAATAACCCGGTTTCACTACGATGAGGCACATGGTCAGAAAAAGATAATCCTGGGTCGGGGTTCCTGACACCGATTCTGATTGGTCAGAGATTAATGACCCTAAGGGAAAGAGGCGGCTGATGAGCTCATCCTAGCTTAATTCATCAGTAATTAATTCCTTTTTGCTTTCTCCCTCCTGGAGTGTTCTAGGTCCCTCACGCTGAGTAACTGTCTTACTGTTGTTATTTCCAGAAGCGTATTCTGTTGAGGGCATGGAGACCTGCTCACTTCCTTTTGGATGCCTGTAGGTAGAAATGGGGTGTGATACCCTCCTGGTCTACCTGCAGGCATCCAATAGGAAGTAAGCAGCCCTGAGTGCTTGTATTCCCAACACTGACTAGTAACCTGCAACTCTTCTATGTTGCCTTTGCTTCAAAGTACTTCACCAAGAGAGTTTAGTGTTCCAAGGTCATGGGGAATGTCACAGCTCAGCAGGGACCTGAGGGAAGACCTATTTCAAACCCCTCATTCTCCAGGTAAGTCCACTGAGGCTTAGACAGACACCGTCCCAGGGGCACAGAGTTCACACCGGAGAAATGACTTCTGAAGGAACTTGTTTATCAGAACAAAACACATGTCAATAATATCTGAAGAGATTTTAAAAGAGAGAGATTTAAAGCAATTTCAAACATTCTCTATGCACTCTCAGTTTATCAGAACAGTCACGTCACTATGTCCTAGACAAAGAAGTCCCCACTCGTCTGTTTAAAAAGTACAGTGCTGTGTGTGAGCTTCAAAAACAATGTTATAGTAATAACATTTCCTTCCTTTCCCTATTCTCTATCTAATTTCATTCACTTCATAAATACATCCATCTATTAACAGCAAAACACTGAAAGATAGGATCCAAACTCTTGGTAGAGAAGCCAATATTCTGAGCTATCTTTATCATAGAAGTAAAATTACAAATAAAACAGGGAGACAATTATATTTAATTGCAGGGCTAAAGTGAATAATTATTAGGCTAAAGAAATGGTTAATGGTATTCTTGCACTATCCTAACACAAAAACAGGCAGATAGTCTCTCGTGTGTGTGTGTGTGTGTGTGTGTAAGTCTTTTAAAGATCACAGTTTCTGAGTCTTTTTACTGGTGCACACAAAGTAGTTCCGGATGAGCTAAAATGGTCCTGGTAATTTTATGAGAACAAGGGGTAGCCAAATTTACTCCCACAGGCATAGTGTTTTCTGCTTAGGCAAGGTCTGACCTTGAAATAAGTTAGACAGACTCTATGAAAAGGGATATTGTGGCTGCCCTGAGGATGAGGGAATGTATTGAAAGAGAATAACAGAGTTTTCATTCCAACCACAGACCATACTTCCAGTGGAGGGCAGAATATATAAGGAAGTGGAAATACACACAGTTTGCAATTAATAAATGCTTATCCAACAAATGTGCTGAATTCACATCTCACTTGGCTTACGGAAGGTGATACATTTATCTACAGAAATTAATCTGGTAGGTAAAATGTAAGCCCACTGAATAAGACATCGAGACTATTAATTACCTTTGAAGATACCAAGTAAAAGGAATATTTTACAGAGATTTCTTAGTGAGGACTCTACATGATCTGTAATTAAGTTAGTATTCTAACTCACTGATGTCTGCACCATCATAGCACGCTGGTCTCTCATTTTTCGGATAATATCCAATGGATAAACAGGCTGGCTTCTTTCAATTAAACACATGGCTGTTTCCATAGTGACCAACACACCAGTTCGACCTATTCCAGCACTGAAAAATGAAGCAAGGAAAGCAATGGCACATTAGGAAGACAGGTTTAGACTTGGAATCACCTGGAATGCCACAGCTTAGATGCCATATCCTTCTAGAGCAAAATAATGATAATAATAATAATTCTTGAGAATCAGGGGCATGTAGAATATTGTAGAATGGATTCTTTTTCAGGTTCAAGTTGGACCAGATGGTTCCTAGGGTTCCTTTGCATTGTGAGATTCTATGAGATAATTCCAGTGAGTATTCATAGCATATCCTCAAATGTGGGTATTTCCAGTTATTTGGAAGCTCTGATTTTATATATTATATAGGCAACTCATAATAATTGATACAAATTCTAATAACATTTAAACCATAAAAACTGACCTTAAAATTATGGGGAGTTTTTTGGGAGTAAATATTCCAATTTATTCAATTGGAGTAAAGAGTTCCAATTTGAATATTTTTTTAAATGAACATTAAAGATGATCTTCTTATGATTTAATTTGTCTTTCGTAAAACAGACAAATATCCCCCCACTTCCTTACACATGTAATTGTCCATTAGATTAAAGAATTAAAGTGTGTAGACAATAGAACATTTTTTCATGGTAGGAAATTATGCTAGGAGATATTTTTATTTTGCAACTAATGATCCTTATGCTTCACATGAATCATAAGGCTTTGTATTTTACAGTTTTCTAAATCTTGTTAAGTATTTTTTCCTATTTTAATTTATTATTTATTTTTAGCATCCTTTTCTTTTTTAATTTCGAATTTCAAATTCTCTCCCTTCCTCCCACACCCTCTGCCATATATTTTTTAAAAAGCAAGAAATAAAGTGAGAAAATTATACTTCAATTTGTACTCAGAATTCATCAGTTCTCCTTCTGGAGGTAGATAGCATTTTCATCATGAGTTTTTGGAAACTATACTGAATCACTGTATTGATCAGAGTAGCCAAGCCTGTCACATGATCAACATTGCTGCTATGCACAATGATCTCCCAGGTCTTCTCACTTCACTTTGCATCATTTCATATTGGGTCTTGCCACGTTCTTCTGAAACCACTTCCCTCCTCATTTCTTCTAGTCCAACAGTACTCCATTACAATCATGTACCACAACTTGTTCAGCCATTTCCCAATTGATGAGCAGTCCCATGCTTTTCAATTCTTTGCCACCACAAAAAATCTACTATAAATATTTTTGTACAAATAGGTTCTATTCCTTTTTCTTTGATCTCTTTGGGATACAGACCTGGTAGTGGTATTGCTGGGTCAAATGGTATGCACTGTTTTATAGTCCTTTGGACATGGTTTCAAATTGTTGTCAAGAATGGTTGGGCCAGTTCACTACTCTAGTTAAATATTAAAGTGATTACTGGGTATAGAAAGTAAAAAAAAAAAGCACATGTCTTTCTAGGATTCAAGATTAACACCATAAATTGAATATTAGCCTACAGACTTCCCTTTCCTTCTCCATCCCATTACAAATTTATCTCAAACTACATACCTGCAGTGAACTAAGATGGGTTCATTTTCCACTCTCATTGCCCTCATATAGGTTACAAATTCCAAAAAGTCTGATGAATCCTCAGGAACCCCATGATCAGGCCAAGCAACATACTGGAGATGAGTAACTGTGTGTTCTTCCCCTGTCTGTGGGGGGAAAAAGATGTACTTTTACTTTAGACTCTAGAAAGAACAAGTGACTTATTATATAGCGAGTCTCTGTCAGAAGCAGTACCTAAACTCAGGTCTTTCCAACTCCAGGGTTAGTCCGCTATGCACTACACCACGTTTTTTCTCAGCATTTTTTCACAGGTCTCCTAAATAGAGTCATCATGACGTAGTGGGCAGAAAGCCAGCCCAGCCTTGAAGCTAGGAAGACCTATATTCCTGTCGTGCCTCAGATACATCCTATCTGTGTGTGACTATGGGTAAATCACTTAATCTCTCAGTGCTCTAGGCAAAATTCTCTTGAGACTATAAACTGCAGAGAAGGTGCCAACTTATCTTGGTGAACAATTTCTTCACCCGGGAGTTCCTTCCTAATGAAATCTCAGGTTGAGTCCCCATAACTGGCCCTTCTAAACAGAATAAACATTGCAAACACTGAAACGCTTGTTAGAAACTGTCCCTATCCATAAAATTCAGTTTCCATGGCTGTGATTAGCCATATTCACTGAGTTGAAACACCTAGTCTGTGGGTGATGTAGAAAAGTCATGGCCACCTCTTTGAAGAGGCTTCCAGTCTGACTGGGGGGTGGTGTCAAAATGAACACATGTGGAATGGCAGAGAACAGTCAAGCTCTAGGCTAATCACTACTAGAGCAGGGTCTAGACTAGGCTATGGCCTTTTGACTGAGTCCAAGTTCTACAGAATAAATGCTTTTATTAAAGGGATTTGTTCTGTGAAGTGTGGATTCAGTCAAAGGGCCTCACTTGAGGACCTAGAGGGCCACATGTGGCCTCCAGGTCGCAGGTTCCCCACCTCTGGGCTAGACCACTCTAATGAGAAAAGCAGCAGCAGGATTCATAGAGGAGGTGAGATTCCACTTGCACCCCCGAATGGGTAGGATCTGGAGGAGAAGGAAAAGGAGAACATTTTAAGCTCCCTGGCCTTTGTAGGAATAAGCACAGGAATGACATTTATGGCCACACCAACGCTACAAAGGCTAGGATTTGCATCAGTGGGTGGGCAACCTGAGGTACTGACACTTTTTGCATTCATCAAGCACTTTCCTCACAAAAAGGAAGGAAAGAAGCATTTATTAAATGCCCACCATGTTCCATGCACTGTGCTAAGTGCCTTATGCATATCTCATTTTGTCCTCCCAACAGCCCTGACAGGTAGGTACTGTTATCATTCCCATTTGACAGAAAAGGAAAGTGAGGTAGATGGAGATTAAGCCTAGAGTCACACAGCCAGTAAGTGTCTGAGGCTAGACTGGAATTCTTATTTTTCTGACTCCAAGCCTAGCATGCTATCCCCTGTGTTACCTACCTGCTCCAACGAGGCAGATAATTTTATACTATGTCTAAAGTATGAATATTATTATCCTCAGTTTTCATATAAGAACTGAGAGAGGACTTTGCCCTTCTTTGCTTTCCCTTCATCCCTCACCCAACAATCACGTGTGTTGCACAGACATCATCAGGGCCAGCGTGGAGGGAAGAGTAACATGACTGTTCTTGTCATTCAGATGAGCTGGGAGTCACCAACCCTAAGCCTTCCAGTGATAGGAACGACCACCAGGATTTACTACCTACCCTGTCACTGGGTCCTCAAGTCCTCCAGACCTAAGAGGGTTTGCCTTATGCCCTGCGGACCCCTGGGCACTGCCATCTGACCTGCTGGTGTACTCTTCAGCATTCTGGGTCCTTTCCACTAGCCTTGAACCTGAACATGTTTTATCTCCCTCAGTTAGAATGCTAGATCCTTAAGAGAAGAAGCTGTCTCTTTTTTTTTATCCTATTTGTATCTCCAGCACTTAGCACACTGCCTGGCACACAGTATGTATTTAATAAGTGCTTTTTATTTCATTCATTCAATCAATGATTCATTTATTCACTCATAAGTTTAGGCTCAGGGTATTTAAGTTATACCATTCATTGCAAGAAAGTGTCATAGCAGCAGCTTGAATTCAGGTCTTCATGCCTCCCTAGATTGTTGTCAAACCCTGTGAATGCTCGTAGAAGGCTATCATGCCTGTCTAAGTTTTTTCTTAGAAGATGCTTCTCCACTGTTCCTTCACCTGATCTTTGCATGGCATGGTTTCTATTAGCCTTATTTGTTAACATCCTTCTTAAAACACGACTGCCAGAACTGGAAACACTACCCCAACTGTGGTCTAACCAGGGTAGGCCAGAGTATGACTATCTTCTCCCTCATTATGGACACTATGATTTCATTAATACAGGCTAAGACCCTATTACAGTCTTTTTGGTTGCCATATCACAATGCTGAGGGCATCTAGGAGGCTCAATGGATACAGCACTGGATCTAAGGTCAAGAAGATCTGGGTTCAAATCCAGCCTCAGACAATTAATAGCTACATGACTCTGGACAAGTCACTTAACCTGCTTGCCTTAATTTCCTCATCTATAAAATGAGCTGGAGAAGGAAACGGCAAACCACTCTAGTATCTTTGCCAACAAAACCGCAAATGGGGTCATGAAGAGTCAGACAGGACTGAAACGACTGAACAACCACCACCACCACACTGCTGACTTGTAACTCACTATATGATCAAATGATTTAATATTCATAAAAAGCATGGTGCCTGGCACACAGCAGGCACTCATATAAATGCTTCTTCCCTTCAACCTCCAGATCTTTTTCACATTAGTTACTTTTAAGTCAAGTATCCCCTCCCTCCAATCTTACAAGACAAAGGCAAACAGCAGACTACTGCTTACCTATGTGGCTCCAGAAGACAAGACAAATGGTGCTTACACAAGGACCCTTCAAGGTACACACCTGACTCAAGACATACCCACTGTGTAGCCTTTCAGGCAATCAATCAGCCAACAAGCATTTACTGAGAATCTATTACATGCCAGATACTGTGCAAAGCACTGGAGGTAAAAAGAAAGGAAAACCGTGGTCTCTGTCTCAAAAAGTTCACATTCTAGAAGGGGTATCACAAATAGAGAACTCAAATAGAAGGAAGGGAAATCACTTCCCACTCATATGGCTCTGCTGCTCCAGAAAATAATTCACTTACCACTGCTAAAACTCATATTTAAATAGCCTAACAAGACCCGCGGGTTGAACTTGCCAAATGCTATTTCTTGAAGTGCTCATTCCCCAGTTTATTGTTTCCTCTCTCTGCATGCTGTGGATAAGTTTAGGACGTATCATTATCCTTTATTAAATTTAATTTTATGAGTTTCATCTCAGTGGGATCTTTCTGAATCCTAATTCTGCTATCCAACATACCAGCTATCCCTTCCTTTCAGCTCTGTGTCACCTGCAGATCTGATAAAGGATGCTTATTCAATTTCCAAAAGACAGACCATTAAGGCATAATGCTAGAGACCTCCTTCCAAGCCAACAGCAATCCATTAATCAACAGTCTTTAGGTAGTGTCATTCAAATAGCTACAGATCTGTACAAACTGTATTAACACCAAGAGGAAGCATGGCACAGTGCATAGAATCTTGGACCTGGAGTAAAAAAGACCTGAGTTTGAATCTCAACCTGTAGCTAGTGGATAGAACTCCAGGTCTAGAGTGAGGAAGATTTGACTCTGGTCTCAGACACTTATTAGCTGTGTGACTTTGGACAAGCCACTTAACCCTTTTTTGCCTCAGTTTCCTCATCTGTAAAATGAGCTGGAGAAGGAAATGGTGAACTACTTCAATATCTTTGCCAAGAAAACCCCAAAAGGGGTTACATGAAGAGTTGGACACGACTGAAAATGGCTAAACAATAACAACAAACACTTATCAGCAGAATGACCATGGACAAATCACTTAACTTATCTCAGTTTTCTCATGTATAAACTGGAAATAATAATTATAATAATATTTGTAGTATCTACCTGACAAGGCTGTCGTGAGAATCAAATGAATCAAGTAAATAAAATGTTTTGTAAACTTGATAAACGTCAATTATTCATTCAGGCATGAGTCACCATCTTGTCCATAAAAATATCATAAAAAATTGTTCGACAGGTTAAGATACCATCCTAATTTGCAAACAAAACACTTATCTGGTGACACTAACACATGTAGTAATAATTTAATAATCAAATAGAGCCTCTCCCTAAATCTTCTTGATGAAGTCCAACCCAAACTTCTTACAGCGGGATCATTTCCTAAGCCATGGATGCGATGTCAAATTTTATCTGCTCTTTTCCACCGATCACTGCAAGTACAGCTAGGTCTCAAATCCCAAAGTGGCGGCCATGTGTTTGAATTCATACCATTTCAAGTTATCATTAGGTACGATATAGTAACTGGTTCCAATCCTATGAGGGTTTGAATGGTGTGACCACTAAATGGGATCCATTTATTAGTACTAATCAGGACCTAGTTGTACCTCCTTCAAATGCTTGGAAGTTTCAGCCTACTCAATTAGGCTGGGGTGCCTTGTGTAAGGAGCCAGGTTAGCAAGCAACATAAATCTGTATCTCCATAAGAAGACAGCTAACCAGTCATCTCTTGAATAAATAACCAATCTAGTGATTTTTTAAGGGGGAAAAAAAATCCTAGAAGCCTAGAATCTATGATAATTATGGAAAAAAATTAACCTGCCCTCCATGCCAATAAACCTATTCCACTGTAAACACCTTCATCACTTCTATGTGGAATAACTGCAAAGTGGCACACACTCTATTTTATGGAAAAGCTTAAATAAAAGTTTCCTTTCAGGAGTCAACAACTGTCCATCAATCTACTATTTGTTCTGTTTTTGCCTGCAGGCATCTGTTGTTTCTGTAGTCATGCTGCCTAGTAGTGCTGGACAGGGAAGTTATGACCCACATCTTTGTGAACTGGCTCATCAAATATGGCACTCGCTACAAGGCTCCTCTAGGGGGCTTCAGGAACTCAGAGGTGGCCATGATTCTGTGACATCCCTTGGCATGTCTTAGATTCCCTGGCTGCTCTGTTGGTTCAGGTCTCACTGGACTATCTAGAACTGGGGGGGTGGGGTTCCTTAACCTTTTTTTTTTGTCCTGGACCCTTTGGCAGTCTGGGGACTCCTGTGGAACCCCTTTCCAGAATAATGTTTTCTTTAAATAAAACATAAAACAAAATGTGTAGGATTACAAAGGAAAAAAAAAATTAGTGAAAGCGAAAGTGTATTTCTTTAACCCATCCAAATTGATAGAACCTCTGAAATCTATCCTTGGACCCCTCTGGTCTCCCAGACCCTAGGTTAAGAACCACAGGTCTAGATCAGATCCCAGAGGCCTACATATTGACTTTGAAAACCACAAACAGTACATGTTGTACTGCTGTTTTTATTTATTTTGTTAAAAATTTTCCAATTACATTTCTTTCTGGTTCAGGTTGCACTTGGGTGGGCCATAGGCCACGTGTCCGACACCTTTGAAGAACAACATTCAGGGTAGTGTGTTAAGTACCTAGAGTTCAGGAGTTAGGAACTTTTAACTCTGTGAAGGGTTTGCATTATAGCTGACTGATGGCTAAGGGAGCTTCTGGGAGTGATTTAACAATAATAAAAACTCACATTTATAGGTCATTTATGTAAAGTGTTTTCCTTGCAGCAAACCTCTGAGTTAGGGAGTATATGTATTATTATCCCTATTTTGCAAATGTATAAATTGAGGTTAGAGGAAGTTAAGTGACTTACATATAGCGGGTGTTAGACGTAGGACCCAAATCCAGATTTCTAGATTCCAAGTCAGTACTCTTTTCACTAAGTCTCACTCAAAAAATGATTTATCAGAACAAAACCTTTTGAGATTTTACACACACACACACACACACACACACTATTATACATTTTATATGTTATGTATATTACATAAATTATATGTATATTATATGTATATATGCATATTACATGTTATATGTACATACATGTATATAATATTATATATAAAGTTCATCAGTGCTTAAAGCACTACATAAAGTAGGCTATTTGATTTAAAATAGAAATACTTGAAATTTATAGTGTGTGTCAGAGCTTCTGTCTATACAAATACACATACAAAGTTTATACATCCTCAAAATTCCATTTCAAGGTTCAAGTAAGGACCAGTTTGTTATTCTTTTGTTGTTCAGTTATTTCAGTCAAGTCTGACGCTGTGATCCCTTCTGAGGTTTTCTTGGCAAGATACTGGAGTGGTTTGCCATTTCCTTCTCCAGCTCATTTTACAGATGAGGAAACTGAGGCAAATAGGGTTAAGTGACTTGCTCAGGGTCACACAGCTAATAAGAGTCTGAGGCCAGATTTGAACTCAAGATGACAACTTCCTGACTCCAGGCCGAGCACTCTATCTATTGCGTCACCTAGCTGCCCCATACTATATTCCAGAGGAGATAAATTCATTCATGTATTCATTCATTCATTCCTAGTCACAAATAAACTAGGAAGAAATAAGAGTAGACACTGAGTTATTGTCTTCAATACTCAAATATATTGTATGGCCTGTCAACGTTTACCTCAATTTTTGTGACCAGCATTTCTCTAAAAACATAGGCAATGGTGCAAACTTCTGACTGACATTTGATACGAAAGGTCCCATATTCCATGACATCTGGAGGGTCGGGCCAGTACTGATGACATTTGGTCTACAAAAACAAAAAAGAATGAGTTAGCTTTAATCCATTTTTCAAATGAGTCAAATCCTTCTGATAAATTAGAATGCATATACAACCTATACGATTTTACCCTCATAGGTAAAATGAGGGGATTGGACTGTATGACTGCTAATATCCCCTCTATAGCTTTAAATCTACAACTATCTACTGTGTGGATAGCATTGGCTGAAGTATTGGTGAGGGACTAAAAATTACTGTAGGATTTCACCATCTTGGCACTGTATCACCTTCAAAATCCAGAACCCTGAAATTCCCCTAATACTATCTTCCACCTTTCCCATTCACACTCAACCTATTCTTTTGACCTGATGTCCCTTGACTCAGTCCTATTTTCCAATTCATCTCCTTGACGCTAGCTTCACTTGTCTCATTATCTAGCCTTGACCCCTTGGTCAGCCACAGGAATGTTCCATTAGCATTTACTGCACTAGTAAAATCCCTCAATGCACTGACCTTTCATCAATCTACACTATAAATATCATCCCTAGGTAACTCTTAATTATCTCTGCTCTTGCTGATGGACTGTTGAATGTCTGTTTTTAGCCTCTTATTCCTTTAAAGCCCAACTCAAATGCCATTTTCTCCAAAAAAGTCTTTCTGATCTCATTCCCCATTCCTGTCTTCCTGGCCCCAGCTGCTAATGATCTCCTCCCCCTGATATGGATAGGGTACTGGGCCTACAGAGTCAGGAAGACCTGAGTTCAAATCTGGCCTCAGACATTTGACACTAACTGTGTGACCCTGGGCAAGTCACTTAACCCCAACTGCCTCGCCAAAACAAAGACAAAAAACAAAAAAACAAAAATGGTGTCAAAAAGAGTCAGACACAACTGAAATGACTCAACAACAACAACTTTTGATATGAATGTTTTGGAGCTCAAGTAAAAAGGAAGAAAAACGTAAATAGGCATTCTACCCAAGGATACATTATTGTAAATTCTTATTAGAGTAGGGGGGATATTTTACTCATGTGATAAGAAATAAACATCCTTATTGCTAGGTTGGGGAAAAGAGGGAAAGGAAAGAAGTTAATTTCTAAAACGTAGAGATAAACTAAAACTATAACAAAAAAGCTAAAAGCCTTCCCCTCCCCACTTTCACTAGTGAAGTGGCAAGGATTATGGGAGGGAATAATGAATCATGTTTGTAAAGTATCAGTCATCATGGATGTCAAGGACTTACAAAGTAGAAAGAGCTAACAACAGAATGTGATAGTAATCTGAACATGCAGCTAGCAGCTGAAGCATAAAATTAGAGGTATTTCATGGGATTTAAAGCTGGAAGTGACCAGAAGCCAAATTGTCCAATCCTTTCATTTTACATATGAAAAAAACTGAGAACCAATGAGGTCAAGTAACTTGCCCACTACAGTAAGCCACAGAACTGGGATTTGAACTTAGGTACTAAACCCAATACTTTTTCTATATACTATGTTACTCAACAAAGCTCAGATAAAAACTCAAAATAATAGCAGTGTCTAGGTGTCAGCACCCAAACACTCTGGAAGTAAAGGTGGAATGAGTGAGCTGGTGTTCATTAAGATACAGACATAAAGACACTTACCCGTCCTCGTTCTGTGAGTGTGGTCAGCATGATGATAAGTGATAACTTACGATCCCAGACTGCTTGCCAAAAGTGCACACAGGTATGTGGAAGCGGGCCTTGTGTGGCAATATACTGGTTCACAATCTTTGTAGAAGGAATTTCCATCTAGTGAGAGATATAGTTCATTAAAATTTGTTCTTATCTACAAAACAGGCATGAAATTGGATTTCAAACACTTTCACTCTGCTGACATCATGGACAATGTAATTTTTTTGTAAAATGATAATGGCACAAATCAACGTTAGCTTTGAGACAGATGAATCATTAAAAAAAAAACAAAACCCTAAACAATCAAAGTGATATTTCATCAGCTGGAATCTGCAAGACAATCTTCAAAAGGAGGCCGGATAATACTCAAAAGACAATACACAGGCAAAATACTAGAAGCTATTTCAATGAGCTTCTTGGATGTAATTTGAACATGGCACAGTAGGAAGAGCACTGAATTAAAACAACAACAACAACAACAAAAAAATTTAGGTTCAAAGCTGTCTATTTACTGTATGATCTTGGCCAAGTCATTTACCTTTCTAGATCTGTTTGTCATCTCCAAAAATGGAACTAAGGATATTTAACACCAATGATCTCATAGAGCATCAAATGAGACAGTGTGTACAAAGTACTTTGTAAAGGGTTATAGAAATATAATCTATTATTATTATTATTATTGTAATCGGCTCCTAATTATGTGTGACCTCTATGGGCCATCTGCCTCTCCTTCTCCCACACCTCTAGTAGGATCTTCCTGTTCTCACTTTACAAAGCATTTGGTATTTTATCTCTACTGGAAAGACAACCACACCCATTTTTAACAACAGAGCAATTTGCTTTGTGCTTAGCTATAATTATTATCCAGATAATCTTGACCTCAGCTTGGTGTTCATTCTAGTTGCCAGAGATCACTCATCATATTGGCCTTCCAAATGTCATATTCCCAATCTTATTCTAACCATCTCCTTCCCTTCTTGAATTATGTATATTTTCTTCATGAGAACATCTGGAATCTGTTCAGACCACATAATACCTTGAAGTTGGCACCACGATGTTTTTGTTTTTGAAAAGAAATATTAATGGTGATTCTCAACAAGAGAAGAGAGGAGAAGGGAATAAGCATTTATGTAATATCTACTCTGTGCCAGGCATTGTGCTAATTACTTTACAAATCTCACCTCATTTGATCCTGGCAACAACTCTTTGAGATAGGTGCTATTATTCCCACTGTACAATTGAGGAAACTGAAGCAAACAGAGATTATGAGACTTGCCCAGTGTCATACAGCTAAGTAAGTGTCTGAAGCTACATTTGAATTCAGGCCTTCCTGATTCCAATATAGGGTATCTGGCTGGCACTTGGGCAGGTACATGAAAAGTAATTTCTATTTAATGAGCTATGAAATTATCATAAATTTTCTCTCCTTGATCTATTTTCCAGGTCAGCTGTTTTAAATACGAGTTACTTTACATTTTCTTCTATTTTTCAGTCTTTTGATTTATTTCACGGAATCTTTAACTTGTATTTGGTCCATTCCAATTTGCAGGAGGTTTTTACTTGGGCAAGGCTTTGTACCACTTGTACTAAAGCTATTAATTTGAGGGAGACCAGTCAAGATGTCAGAGATGGAAATAACAGCCAAGTTCTCTCCCATAACTGTTCCACAAAGACAAAAAAGCACCAGACACAGTCCTGAATGGGAAATCCAAGGGGAAAAAAAAAAAAAAAAACAATGTTAATTTATTTTTTCTACCCCAGGTCAGCACAGGGAAAAGGACAGAGATCTGTCCTGTGGCATTGAGTATGAGGTCTAGTCAAGAATTGTCATGTGAAACATCTCAGGGCAGGAACTATACAAGGGCCTGCCCATGGCAATTCATCAGGGCAAGAAGAGGTCCCAGATCTGGCACAGAGGAACACGACTCTGGAAACAGGTGCCACATGCTAACTCATTACTCAGTGCCAAGTCACAAAAACCATGCAAACTGAGAAGGGGACTGTGCCAAGGAGTGGCAGTCTACTACAAGAGGCAGTTTCAAGCCCTAGGTTGTGTACTGAAGGAGGAGCATGTAAAGAAGCAAGCAGTAGCTGTGTAGCTTTGACCTTGATCCTGGCCCTAAGAAAGAGTCCGAAGTCAGGAAGTAAGGCTGGAGGAACAAATAAACAAAAAATGATATTATCATAAAGAGGTATTATGATGATAGAAACACTCAAGATTCAAACCTAGAAGAAGAGACTGACTTCAAAACATCTATAAGCAAAGCCTCAAAGGAAAACACAAAAGTTCAACTAGAATTCCTAAAGGAAATAAAGCAAGAGTTTTAAAAGGAGGCAAAAATTATTTCATAAATTATATGAGTGCTAGAGAAGACAACTGGAAAAGAAATGAGAGTGCTGGGGGAAAAACAGGAAAAGAAATGAGATCTCTGGAAGAAAATTAGAAAGAGAACAGGTTGGCATATGAAAAACAAAACCTAACTGAAGCAATAGATAATAATGCTCCAAATCACTGATAATTAGAAAAATGCAAATTAAAGCAACTCTGAGGTTCTATCTCACACCCTTCAGATCGGTAAAGGTAGAAAAAAAAATAAAAATTACAAATGTTGGAGGGGTTGTGGGAAAACAGGCACATTAATGCTTCTTTAGCAGAGTTATGAATATGTACTGTTATTCTGGAAAACAATTTGGAACCATGCCCCTAAAGTAAGTAAACTGTGGATGTCCTTTGATGTAACACTACTAGACTGTACTCCCAAAGAGATCAAAGAAAGATGAAAAGGACTCACATATGCAAAAATACTTCTAGTAGCTCTTTTGTAGTTACAAAGAACTGAAAAAAGGAAGCCCATCAACTGGGGAATGGCTGAACACATTATTCCATAAATATAATGGAACACTATGGGATGGTTTCAGAGAAAGCTGAGAAGACATGTATGAAGTGACAGAGGGAAGTGAGCAGAACCAGGAGAACGATTTCTACAGTAACACCACCATTGTAAACAAAATCAGTGTTAAAACACAGTAACTCTAGTCAAAACAATGACCAAGCATGATTCCAGAAGTCCAATGATGAGGTGATGGATCCAAGCTGCATGATGAGGAATACGGTTTTACAAGGCCAATGTGGGGATAAGTTAAGTTTTTTTATTATGCATATTTTTACAAAGGTTTTATTATTTTTTTTCCCACTAGGGCAGGGAAAGGAGGGAGAGAAAAATAAATGCTTATTAATTAAACAAATAAAAATAAAATAAAAACCCCAAGTTTTTAATGTTGAATTTTTCCCATTTGAATTCTCATTTCATTTCTAACTCTTTCCTCTAGTACATTTATTTCATTTATAATATTATTTTTTAACTCTTGCTTCATCTTTCAGGATCCTAGTTGACCTTACAGCCAAACTGTGCCTTGTTTAAGGCTTTGTATGTAGATGTTACAGTGATTCTATTTTTCTGGGTTTGTGTCTTGAGGGTCTGTGTGTGTGTGTGTGTGTGTGTGTGTGTATATATATATATGCATGTATGTGTATATATATGTATGTATGTACACATACATATACATGTATGTGTGTATATGTATGCTCAATGTCAGTGTCTTTTTTATTTTTATTTTTTAGCCTTTTTTCCTAAATTTGAACTTTGTCTTAGGGATAGGCTACGTCTGCTTCTGGATGATCTGGGGTTCTGCAGTGGGTTTTTTTCTGGGTGTTATACACTGTGTTCTTCAAGAGTCTCAGAGGTGGCTCAAGAACAGCCAATTAGCACACTTTCAGTACCCTAAGTGGTCTGATCACTGCCCTCCCAGTCTGAGCTCTGCAGACTCCAAACCCTAGTACATGATCTGGGTAACTCAGAAGCATCAGGCTTACCCTTCAATGGAGCTCCAATAGACACCTCTTAGGCCCGGCCCCAGTCTCACCTAGTCTTAGTTGGAAATTTCCACATCTTTACATTGATGGAACTGTAGGTGAACCTCTGGTTTGTGGTCTCTTCCCTGACACGTAACCTCAGCCTGCAGCTCAATCTGTACTAGAAGGTTATAAGGCTCCAGTCTAGCATCAGAGAGATGTGGTTGTGGACATGTCATTTTAATGATTTAGTTGCCACCTTACGCTCTAATCTGTGTTGAAAAGGTCTTCGCCAGCCTTCTTGGCTAGATTCCTTCTCTGGGGTCCACAGGCTGGCTCCCTGCGTTGATGCAGGCTGAAAATGGAACAATTGTAGATCTTCCTTGTGTTTCCCCATCAACATTTCATCTGGAACTTTTTTGGGGAGTTATCTGGGCTTTCTTACCTCTCAGCTTTGTCCCTAATCCTCTTAGTCTTCTTTAAGAGAGGTTTACATGCCCCACAGAATGTTAGAAACTTAATGGACCTTCAAAATGGGTACATGATTTAGACATAAAGGGGGATACCATGGGCAAACTAGGGGAGCATGGAATAGTTTACCTGTCAGATCTGTGTTGATAAAGGAAGAATTTATGACCAAACAAGAGATAGAGAGCATGACAAGATGTAAAATGGATAATTTTGATTATATTCATTAAAAGTTTTTCCACAAACAAAACCAACGCAGTTAAGATTAGAAGGAAAGCAGAAAGCTGGGAAAATTTTTTTCTACAGCAAGCATCTCTGATTACAGACCTCATTTCTCAAATATATAGAGCATTTCCCTCCAAGTGATAAATGGTCAAAGAATATACCAGGCAGTTTTCAGATGAAGAAATCAGAGTTATCTATAGTCATATGAAAAAATGCTCTAAATCACTATCAATCAGAGATATGCAAATTAAAATAATTCTGAGTTACCACCTTACACCTATCAGATTGGCTAATATGGCAGGAAATAGAAATGATAAATGTTGAAGGGGATGTAGGAAAAATGGGACACTAGTTGGTGTAGTTTTAAACTGATCTGACCATTCTGGAGAGCAATTTGGAACTATGCCCAAAGGCCTATAAAACTGTGCATACCAATACTAGGTCTGTATTCCAAAGAGATTTTTCAAAAAAGAGTAAAGGATCTATTTGTACAAAAATATTTATAGCAACTCCTTTAGTGGTGGCAAAGAATTGGAAATTGAGGGGATGTCCATCAACTGGGGAACGGCTGAACAAGTTCTGGTATATGATTGTGATGGGATACTATTGGACGATAAGAAATGACACGCAGGATAATTTCAGAAAAACCTGGAAAGACTTACATGAACTGATGCAGAGCAAAGTGCGCAGAACCAGGAGAATGCTGAAATAGCAATATTGTATGAGGATCAACTGTAAAGGACTCAGCTATTTTCAGCAATACAAAGATCCAAGACAATTCTAAAGGACTCATGAAAAATGCTATCTACCACCAGAGAAAAATACTAATGGATTCTGACTACAGATTGAAGCATACTACTTTTCACTTTATTTTGTGTGTGTGTGTGTGCGTGTGTGTGTCTGTCTATATGTATAAATGTTTTCGTTTGTGTTCTCTTTCACAACATGACTAATATGAAAATGTTTTGCATGACTGCACATGTATAACCTATATTAAATTGCTTATTATCTCAGGAAGGGGAGTAAGGAGGGAGAGAATTTGGAACTCAAAATAAAAAAAAATGTTAATTGTTTTTGCATGCAATTGGGAAAAAATAAAATATTAAAAACCAAAAACTTAATGGACTTTAGAGCTCAACTAGTTCAACCCTTATGTTTTAGATGGAGAAACAAAAAAGTTTGAGAGAAGTGGTACGTCTTATCCAAAGCTACACAGATAAAAAGTGAAAGAGCCAGTGTGAGAACTTAGATTACTGTGTATTAAACAGGTGTGGTGGCTTTTTTCCATTATTTAAGATGAAACATATAATTACAATTGATATTATAAGAAAATACTTAAGAGAATGCTATTGTGAGTATTCTTTTTTAAAAAAGATATAGATTTGACTTACATTCACATAACTTGCATTAATATAATCTTCATCTCCCTGCAATAATACCCGAGTGGTATCATCTATTAAAAAGAGAAAATTTTTATTTCATTAGGAAACAGTTCAATTTGTAACTATCTTTATCTTTTTTGCTCCAAAGGATTGTTAGTAGCATAAAGGCTATCCTTACAGTATAAAGATAGAAACAAACAGTACAAAGACTGTGGTATTTGCAGATACTCCCACAATAGTTAAGAGAAAACCAGAAATTGTTTTAAAAAAGGAGACAATTATCTAAGGCCTTGAGAATTGAAGTAACTTGCCTAAGTCATATAGGAATCCAAGCCTTTCCTCTTCTAGATTTTTCCATGCTGACCCCCTCTGTACCTGGCACTTGGGTAATGACCATAGGCATCATATAGGAAGAACTAAATACATAATGTTGGGTTGGATAAGATCAAATGATTTAGAGCTGTCAGAGACCAAAGAATTCATCATTTTATAGATGAGGGAATGGAGGCCCCAAGAAATGAAGTGAGAGACTTGCTCAGGGCTGTTGTTGTTATTCAGTCGTTTAGTCTGTGTGTGTGTGTGTGTGTGTGTGTGTGTGTGTGAGTGTGTTTCTTTGAGTCTGACATTACAGCACTATACCACACTCAGTCCAGAAAAATCAATTTCTCTGTATCACACTTAGTAACAATGGCCCATACTTATTTAGTGTTTCAAAGACAAACTACTTTACATATATACTTGATCCTCTCATATAGATACTTATAGTGGCTACCTCATATGGTCATCTATCCATTTTGACATAATTTAGACAGTTTGACATAGGAGAAAATTAAAGCTAAGAAGGGTTAAGTGAGTTACCAACAATACCGGGAGATAGTGTGGGAGGGGACAATAAAAGGAGAGGGTTGAAGTAGTCAAACATTGACATTTGATACTCACAAGGCAGCACATCTTTGTAGCGATTTTTGTCCAAATTTTGAGACAGTTTTGCAAATGTGATGGGCAAACCTGGCTTCTTTCTATAGAGTTGCTACATGACATAAAAGTGAGAAGTCATAAGATTATTCAACAAGTATCTGCCAAAAGTTATGCAAAATTCAAGTACTTCATGGTAAAATTCCTTACCCAAGGGATCAACGTTTTAGGTTCAAAAGCAATTACATGTTCAATTTTAAAGCTTATCATCAAAAAACACAACAAAACATTCCACCATTCTAGCTGACATTACTATTCAACAATTTCTCAATATGAAAGTCTTTTAGAGAGAATTCAAAGGAATAGGTTTGAGTCATTGACAGAAAATAATCATTCCAAAATATAGCAAATCCTAGCTGCCTGACAGTAATTTGAGAAATGCTAGAGAAAAGAAGAAAAACAGAAAACTGGAAAAAAAGACAATTATTTAGACTAAAAATGTTAAAGCACAGATAGGTCCAGAAATGAAGGAAAAAATATTTCAGTTTATCAAAGAAGTAAAAAAAAAAATCTATTTGCCAATAGCATAAACACTTTTAATTCTTTCAGAGTCTCAGCACTGTATGCCCAGGGACAAAACTTCTGTCCCAATACTCAACAAAGAATTCATAATTAACCATCCTAACATGATCATACTTTCACTGCTAATTTTTAGTCAAATGATCTCTGCAATTCATTAAAAAGAGCATGTATACACATATTAAAAGTATGACCCAGTATTATCCCATCCACATTCTTTGATCTTACTTGTATGTTTTTGGAGAAAATATGCAACTGTGCCAATGGGGTCCATTACTAATTTGTAACCCCAGGCCCTTACTGCTGCATGGTAATCCTGCTGTTCTTTCCTGATTAGACCTATATGATACCCCATACAGAGACTGTTCCGGTTCCAAATGAGGCAGCATGGCATACAGAACAGGGCATTAAACTTGGAGGCAGGGAGAAATAGGTTACTATGTGACCCTGGGCAAGTCACTTGACCTCTCTGTGACTCAGTTTCCCCATTTGTAAAATGAAGAGGATGGACTTTAAGGTACCTTTCTTATGATTCTCAAGTCTTTTACAAAACCCCCCTTCCCTAACTCTGCCTCCTTTTTCAGAAGATGACCTTCCCTCCCACTTCACTCAAAAAAATAGAGGCTATCTATTATAAGTTCCCTCTTCTCCCTTACTCTATACCTCAAAGCCTCTGTCACCTCTATTCTTTCCTCCTTTGCTCCAGTCTCAAAAGGAGATATGTGTGGTACTTTTCTTTGACAAAGCCAACCCCTCAACTTGTGTGCTTGGCCTCCCCACCCCCTAGACTCCTCCTCAATTTCTCTCTCTCTGTCATAATAGAATATACCCATGTTTACCCATTTAAAACAAAACAAAATAAAACCTTTTATCTGGTCTGGTCATCTTACTGAACTACTGTCAAACATCCCTTTCCATTTTCATAGTCAAACTCCCAGAAAGAGCTGTAACTGCTCCCGTTTCATTTCCCAAAGTCTAGTCACATGACCTCCAAACTTACCATTCAACAGAAACTCTTTTCTCTGAGGTTAAATTTGTGGCCTTTTCTTAATCCTGATTCTCCTTGACCTTTCTGCAGATAATGGTGACCATCTCCTTCATACTCTTTTCTCCCTTGGGTTTTGTAACACTGCTCTTTCTTCCTTATCCTTTTGTTTGAGCGATCTTCATCAATAATGTTTGTTGAATCATCCCTCCCTCCCTCTCTCCCCGCCCCTTCCTTCTGTTCCTCTGTCTGTCTTCAATTTTATCAACTCCCATGGAATCAATTATCACAGCTATATGCTAAGCCCTGATCTCTTTCTCTCTTCATCTTCAGGTCTGTATCACTAAACTGATTGCCAAACAACTCTACCCAGATATAAGGACTACTCTGGCATCTCAAATTCAACAGGCCCCGAAATGGAACTCATTACAGGATCAAAGAAGAAAAGAATTAGAATCAGAAGGAACTACAGTAGCCACATAGTCTAGCTTTTCATTTTGCAAATGAGGAAAATAAGGTAGTGCAGCGGACAGAGAGCTGGGCCTTGAGTCAGGAAGACTGACATTCAAATGTGGCTTTAGACATTCACTAGCTATGTGATCCTGGGCAAGTCACTTAACCTCAGTTTTCTCATCAGTAAAATGGGGATTATCATTGAGCCTTCCTCCCAGGGTTATTGTGAGGGTAAAATGAGATCATAATTATAAAACACTTATCACAGTGCCTGGCACATAGTGTTATATAAATGTTGGCTTATCATTACGTTATTATTGTTAGAGATCAGATAACTTGCCCAAGATCAGACATTTAATAAATAAATGTCTAAGGTGGGAAGCAAATCCATGTCCTCTTAAATCCAAACTCATCACTCTTTCCACTCTGCTACATTGCTTCTTATCTTCTCCCTTAAGCCCACTCTTTCCTTCGTTTCCTCTGAGGTCATCACCACTCTTCTCATCATTCAGATTTGCAACCTGAAGTCATTCTTGACTTCATCCTCCACCTTATCCTCCCACATCTAAACAATGTTCAACTCCTGACAATCCTACCTGAATAATATTTCTCCCACTAATGCCCTTCTCTTCATCCACACAGGCCACAACCCTAGTCCAAGCCTTCATCGTCTCTTGCCTGGACTACGGCAGTGGCTTGCTAATTGGTCTCCCCTCTTCCAGTCTTTTCTCTCTCCAATTCACCCTTCACACAGCTGCCAAATCAAAATCTGAAACACACAGGCTTTCACCATGTCCTTCTACTGCTGAAAAACCTCCAGTAGCTCCTTATTACCTCTAGAATAAACAACAAAATCCTTAGCCGTTTAAAGCCTTGCATGATCTTGTTACCACCCACGTTTCCAGGCCTATTTCACATTACTCTCCTCCACACATTCTTTATTCCAGTCACACTGATCTACTGTTAGTTCCCAGAACTGGGCATTCCTCCTTTTGCTTCTGTGTCTCCACAGGAAACTAAAAGTTTTCACTTCCATCTAGGTCCAGTTCAGGTATGGCCTCCTACATGAACCCCTTCCTGTTTCCTCTACTTATAAGTACCCTCTTAATCTCCTCAAATTATTTTGTATTTGTTCCTTCTCAGAATAGAATGTAAACTCATGCTGCATTCTCTGAATAGAATGTAAACTCCTTGAAAATGGGGAACTTGCTGAATTAAGTTGTGGGGGAAAAATAGAAATGGAATTTACAGTGTAAAAACAATATGGGGATATTGATAATTAGGCAGTTGGCCAAACACCTGCCTTAATTATTTTATCATATAGCAGAGAGAATCTTAACCTGGGATCAATGAACTTAGTTGTTTTGTTTTTTTTTAAATAGTCTGATAACTATGCTTCAATATATTTCAAAAGAGTGATTCGGTGAATGGAACACTGCCTGGAGTCAGGAAGATTCGTCTTCCTGAGTTCAAATCTGCCCTCAGACATTTACCAGCTGTGTGACCCTGGGCAAGTCACTTAACCTTGATTATCTCAGTTTCCTCATCTGTAAAATGAGCTGGAGAAGGAAATGGCAAACTACCCCAGTATCTCTGTCAAGAACATCCCAAATGGGGGCAGCTAGGTGGCGCAGTGGATACAGCACCGACCCTAGATTGAAGAGGACCTGAGTTCAATGAGTTCAAATCCAGTCTCAGACACATAATACTTATTAGCTGTCTGACCCTGGGCAAGTCTCTTAAACCCACTGCCTAACCAAAAAAACAAAACAAAAAAAAACTCCAAATGGGGTCACAGAAAGTCGAACACAACTGAAATGACTGAACAACACAACAATAACAACCTTTCCAGTTTTCTTACAACTTACTCCCTAACATGTACTCTTTGATCTAGTGACTGGCCTCCTGACTGTTCCACAAAGAAGATACTCCATGTCTTGGTTCGGGTCATGCTCTCTGGCTATTCCTCCAAGGGGAGGAACACTCTCCCTCCTCTCTGACTACCTCCTTGACTTTCTTCAAACCCCACCTTCCACAGGAAGCCCTCCCCAACACCTCTTAATTCCAGTGCCTCCCTTCTTTTAATCATTTCCTATTGATCCTACATATAGCTTGTTTTGTATATATTTGTTTACATGTTGTCTCCCCCGCTAGACTGTAAGCTCCCTGAGGGCAGAGGCTGTCTTTTTGCCTCCTTTTATATCCCCAGCACTTTGCACAGTGCCTGGCACACAGCAGGCACTTCATCTATATTTATTGAATTGCATTACATGAAGTCCTTCCTGCTTCCTCTTGTTTAACATGCCCTCTCAATCTCCTCAAATTATTTTATGTTTATATATTGGGGGACATGTTGTATTCTCCCAGTAGAACGTAAATGCCTAGAAAATGGGGACTCTACAGTGGTGTTTACAGAATAAACATCTAATATTTGCTGAAGTGAGTTGTGATAAAGGCCCAAGTAAAGGAAATATAAAAGAGAAAAAGACTCAAAGATCCTACACTCAGGAAATGGTTTCCATAGATTGATTAAAAACGGATTGTTTTGAGGTATGAGTGAATATTTGTGATTCATATGACCTTTGGTATATCTTAATAACTTATGAATCAGTCTCACAAATAACAAGACTACCCACTCCTAGTTGAGTTTTTTTTTTTTTAAATCTTTCATCAACCATCTTCTCCTACACTCCAAAGCTAACCTGACAGTTATGGAAACCAGCATGAAAAATGGAAGCTGTGCCTCAGTGTCCTTTACCACAGGGATGGTAGTAAAATGAAAAGAGCACTGAATTTGGTTGGAGTTGGAAGATCCTAATTTCCAATTCTACCACTTTTTGTAATCTTAGGCAGATTATTTAATGTTTTTTAATTAATTAATTATTATTATTTTTTTTTAGTTCTCAACATTCACTTCCACAAGATTTTGAATTCCAATTTTTCCCCTCTCCCCTCCCTCATCCTAAGACAGCATGCATTCTGAATATCCCTTCCCCCAATCTGCCCTCCCTATTATCACCTCCCACCCTTTCCCTTACCCCTCTCCCCTTCTATTTTCCTATAGGGCAGGATAGATTTCTATACCCCATTGCCTGTAT